AGAAAATTTACTTCCACATATAACCTTCCCTTGACTTTTCACAATAACAGACTTATACAAAATTTGTCCTTCTGTGGTTGACTTATTTCACTCAGCATAATGCCCTCCAAGTTGATCCACGTTATGTGGTGTTTTGCAGATTCTTCGTTATTCTTTAGAATTGTATAGTATTTAGTTGTTTGCATGTACCATAGTTGGTTATCCCTTCTTTTGTTGATGGCAGCCTAGGTTGTTTCCATCTTTTTGCTATTGTAAACAGTGCTGCGATGAACATGGGTGTACATATATCTTGATTCTCACTACTTTAACATATATCCCTAGTGCCAAAGGGACAAGGATGCCACATCTTCTGACCTCCTCTAACCACACAAGAGGAGGACAGAATCACCATCTGTAGCCCAAGGCCTATCCCTGTGAAGTCAGACATGCTGCCTCCTCTCCAGCCCTTTCACCAACCTCGACATCAACCATTCCTCCTGCCGCACCCACCACCTCTCTGCTGGGTTAGACAATTTGCTGCAGTGGCCACACAGAACTTCCCTAATAAACTTAGGGGATTTATTAGGGAAGCAACAGGCTACAATTCAAGTTCAGGAACATGCTCAGTCTCTCTCAGCATGCATGCTGCCTCTCAGCCAGCAGTCTCTCTCAGTCTCTCTCCCGGCAGTGCTTGTCTCTTGGTGTCTCTCTCTCAGCACTGTGTGTCTCTCAGTGTCTCTCTCAGCAGTGCATGTCTCTCGGTGTCTCTCTCAGCAGTGCATGTCTCTTGGTGTCTCTCTAAGCAGTGTGTGTCCCTCGGTGTCTCTCTCAGGAGTGTGTATCTCTCTCAGCAGTGCATGTCTCTTGTATCTCTCTCACAGCAGTGCATGTCTCTCACATCCCTCAGCAGACAGTGAGAGATTTTTTCTTTCCTCTGGGAGGGCTCCTTTTGAGCCTGGCAGAGTGGCCAAACTAACCAATCCCAACATCAGAATTCTATATACCTGAGAGAAAGCGAACTTCCCAGAAAATTACTTTGTGCTGCTCCCAACACAGGTGGATAACTTTTAACAATCAGGAGCTACTCAGTTGCTCATGGCAAATTCCACCATGGAGTTTACAAAGACTTATGGCTAGAAAAGGCACATTCTGTAATTTACTACACCACACCTAGTAATGGAATTGCTGGATCAAATGGTATTTCTAATTCCAACTTTTTAAGGAATCACATACTGCTTTCCACAGT